AGAGAAGAGTCAGTGCTTTTACTTTTCAGCAGAAGCCAGTTCTTTTTTTTTTTTTCATTTTTCTTTTATTATTCATATGTGCATACAAGGCTTGGTTTATTTCTCCCCCCTGCCCCCACCCCCTCCCTTACCACCCACTCCACCCCCTCCCGCTCCCCCCCTCAATACCCAGCAGAAACTATTTTGCCCTTATCTCTAATTTTGTTGTAGAGAGAGTATAAGCAATAATAGGAAGGAACAAGGGGTTTTGCTGGTTGAGATAAGGATAGCTGTACAGGGCATTGACTCACATTGATTTCCTGTGCGTGGGTGTTACCTTCTAGGTTAATTTTTTTTAATCTAACCTTTTCTCTAGTTCCTGGTCCCCTTTTCCTATTGGCCTCAGTTGCTTTAAGGTATCTGCTTTAGTTTCTCTGCATTAAGGGCAACAAATGCTAGCTAGTTTTTTAGGTGTCTTACCTATCCTCACCCTCCCTTGTGTGCTCTCGCTTTTATCATGTGCTCAAGTCCAATCCCCTTGTTGTGTTTGCCCTTGATCTAATGTCCACATATGAGGGAGAACATACGATTTTTGGTCTTTTGGGCCAGGCTAACCTCACTCAGAATGATGTTCTCCAATTCCATCCATTTACCAGCGAATGATAACATTTCGTTCTTCTTCATGGCTGCATAAAATTCCATTGTGTATAGATACCACATTTTCTTAATCCATTCGTCAGTGCTGGGGCATCTTGGCTGTTTCCATAACTTGGCTATTGTGAATAGTGCCGCAATAAACATGGATGTGCAGGTGCCTCTGGAGTAACAGTCTTTTGGGTATATCCCCAAGAGTGGTATTGCTGGATCAAATGGTAGATCGATGTCCAGCTTTTTAAGTAGCCTCCAAATTTTTTTCCAGAGTGGTTGTACTAGTCTACATTCCCACCAACAGTGTAAGAGGGTTCCTTTTTCCCCATCCTCGCCAACACCTGTTGTTGGTGGTGTTGCTGATGATGGCTATTCTAACAGGGGTGAGGTGGAATCTTAGCGTGGTTTTAATTTGCATTTCCTTTATTGCTAGAGATGGTGAGCATTTTTTCATGTGTTTTCTGGCCATTTGAATTTCTTCTTTTGAGAAAGTTCTGTTTAGTTCACTGCCCATTTCTTTATTGGTTCATTAGTTTTGGGAGAATTTAGTTTTTTAAGTTCCCTGTATATTCTGGTTATCAGTCCTTTGTCTGATGTATATTGGCAAATATTTTCTCCCACTCTGTGGGTGTTCTCTTCAGTTTAGAGACCATTTCTTTTGATGAACAGAAGCTTTTTAGTTTTATGAGGTCCCATTTATCTATGCTATCTCTTAGTTGCTGTGCTGCTGGGGTTTCATTGAGAAAGTTCTTACCTATACCTACTAACTCCAGAGTATTTCCTACTCTTTCTGTATCAACTTAAGAGTTTGGGGTCTGATATTAAGATCCTTGATCCATTTTGAGTTAATCTTGGTATAGGGTGATATACATGGATCTAGTTTCAGTTTTTTGCAGACTGCTAACCAGTTTTCCCAGCAGTTTTTGTTGAAGAGGCTGCTATTTCTCCATCGTATATTTTTAGCTCCTTTGTCAAAGATAAGTTGCTTATAGTTGTGTGGCTTCATATCTGGATCCTCTATTCTGTTCCACTGGTCTTCATGTCTGTTTTTGTGCCAGTACCATGCTGTTTTTATTGTTATTGCTTTGTAATATAGTTTGAAGTCAGGTATTGTGATACCTCCTGCATTGTTCTTTTGACTGAGTATTGCCTTGGCTATTCGTGGCCTCTTGTGTTTCCATATAAATTTAACAGTAGATTTTTCAATCTCTTTAATGAATGTCATTGGAATTTTGATGGGAATTGCATTAAACATGTAGATTACTTTTGGGAGTATCGACATTTTTACTATGTTGATTCTACCAATCCATGAGCATGGGAGATCTCTCCACTTTCTATAGTCTTCCTCAATCTCTTTCTTCAGAAGTGTATAGTTTTCCTTGTAGAGGTCTTTCACATCTTTTGTTAGGTTTACACCTAGGTATTTGATTTTTTTTGAGGCTATTGTAAATGGAATTGTTTTCATACATTCTTTTTCCGTTTGCTCATTGTTAGTGTATAGAAATGCTAATGATTTTTCTATGTTGATTTTATATCCTGCTACCTTGCTATAGCTATTGATGATGTCTAGGAGCTTCTGAGTAGAGTTTTTTGGGTCTTTAAGGTATAGGATCATGTCGTCTGCAAATAGGGATATTTTGACAGTTTCTTTACCTATTTGTATTCCTTTTATTCCTTCTTCTTGCCTAATTGCTCTGGCTAGGAATTCCAGTACTATGTTGAATAGGAGTGGAGATAGTGGGCATCCTTGTCTGGTTCCTGATTTTAGAGGGAATGGTTTCAGTTTTTCTCCGTTAAGTATAATGCTGGCTGTAGGTTTGTCATATATAGCTTTTATAATGTTGAGGAACTTTCCTTCTATTCCTAGTTTTCTTAGAGCTTTTATCATGAAATGATGTTGGATCTTATCAAAGGCTTTTTCTGCATCTATTGAGATGATCAAGTGGTTTTTGTCTTTGCAGAAGCCAGTTCTAAGTCCCTGTCAAAGAGGCCAGCCTGGGGGGAGGCCTTCCAGTCATTGGGAATGTGCCTTGAAGGGAGTTGAGACCCTGGCCTCTTCTTTCTCTCCTTTGTGTCCCTCCCACGATGAATGGCTTTGCTCTGCCACACACTCCATGATTTGCTGCCTCACAACAGGAATAAGGCCATGGGGCAACCGGTCACAGACTGGGGCTCCACAAACCTTCCCTGTTTATAAGTTGATTATCTTGGGTATTTGTTACAGTAATGGAAAGCCAGCTCACACAGAGTGATATCACTGTGAAGGAAGTAACCGAAGTGTAGGGTCCACGTACCATGGCCAGGCTGGGGATGGAAGCCCCAGCAGTGGGGACAGGACTGGGCTGTGCCACACAGAAACCACAAAAGTGCTGGCCACTCTCTGTGGGGCAGCAGAGGGAGCAGAAGTCAGTGGGCCATATTGGGAGGGGTCTGAGGAGGGCAGTACCAGGTGCAGGTGCTATGGGCCCAGAGCTGGTGCTGCTGTGGAAGGGAGAAGAGTGCAGAATGCCAACCACAAAATGGCTAGGCTGTGAGCGGGAACATGGGTGAGGGCTGAAGCTCACTTCCTTCTCTGTGGATGCACCTGTCTACATGGCACAAGGTTGGTGGGTGAGGTCTTCTCTCCAGTGCTGAGGGTCCTCTGCTTTTACCCAAAACCCTCCGAGATCCAGCAGAGGGACGGAGTGATGAGCCTCATGTTTCATGGGGCCTTGCTGGTGGAGAGTGATGGGGGCAGAGCTAAGAGGGGAGGTGGGCTAGGAGATCACGGGTCCCTGAACGGGGCAGCAGAAGCAGGGAGGCACCAGACTGGACTTAGTGTCCTCGGAGGTGGAGCTGGCAGGTCTTCTGGTATCTGGGGCTGGGAAGTAAAGGAAGGTGGGAGCCCAGAGGGATGGCTCCAGCTGTATGGTGCCACCCACAGGAGACATGGAGGGGACTCGTGTGACAAGAGGGGAATAAATAAATGTCTGTCAGAGGACATAAGGGGCCCTGTGTATACAGATTACATGTGGAGGTTTCTGGGTGTCTGTAATTCTCAGGCTCCCCAGCTGTGTCCGAAAGATTCACAGGGGCAGTCATGAGAGCTGCAACTTCCCAATGGAGGCTGGGCCATAGAGCGATGGTGGGGAGTTGCATCTCCCTGTGTCCCACCCCAAGAAGGGGTTTGAGTTGGAGAAGATCAAGATGCAGCAAGAGATCTCGGAGCTCAGATGCCACTACTGGCTGAACCCAAGAGGATCCAAAGAGCAAGGGTGCACAACACTGTAGGTGCACAGCAGGTTAGAGGCCTGTCTGGGGGGCGATTGGGGCATGGCCCCCACTGTCATCAAGTGGACCGAGCCCTAGTGTTCTGGAAGAGCCGAGAAGAAATGAGAGTTTGAAGGTCAGCGGCATATGGGTGGCCCTGGACCCTCGGGAAGGAGCATATGCAGATGGGAAGAGGCCAAGGTGGCCGTGGGTGCCTTCCAGGAGGAGAGGTTGGGAAGGTGTGTCCTGTGGAGATGGGGGCGAGCAGCTCATGAGGCGGGGGCAGCTGGACAAGCCTGGAACCCCTGAGCCTCATGGTGTCGGCATGGTCAATACATGTCGAACGCTGCCAGGCGGACAGGAGATGACCGTGGACTTGACACTGGAGCTGCATGAGCTTAGTTGCTTGGCAGAGCCTGGTCCAGCAAGGCAGGAAGGGGTGGAGGTGGCAAGCTGGCTTCTGTGGGCTGCAGAGCAAAGGACACATCAGGATCTTAGCCCTTCTTTACGCAAGCACCTCTGCTGCTGGGTAGTGATGATGTGAGCATTCAGCCTGAGGTGTAAGCATCTGTATGAAAATCCAGTCAGCTGTCCCAGTGTTCCCAAACCCATAAAAACACTGTCTAGAGAGACACCATGACTGCTAAGATGTTCCCAGTTGCCAAGGATGTCATAGAAGGTAAGCAAAGCACCCTGTCATCTGGGTAATAAAATGGAGGGGGGACTGAAAGGAGTGAGTTGAAGCTGGCTTGAGGACCATGCCTGGGTGTAGACCCTGTCAGCACCCCTTCCCCACTCCTGGGGCTGTGTCCATGGAGAAGCACTGCCCCCCGCCCAGGGTTGTGGTTTCACCTGCCTGCGTGGCTCGCTCCTACACAGGCCTGGAGCAGGCTCCCATGGTCACAGGAGTATGTCTGTGGCCTTCCTTTCCTGCTGTGGTGCCAGCTATGCACATCCATGCTCTCCACCAAGCAGGTTTGATTGGGAGTTCTGATTGATGTTTTAAGTCACATTCCGGAATAGAAAACGGCCTCCAGGTTTGCAGAAAATGAATCCTCCAAATGTGCACGCTCAGGTTTCAGCCGCTGTGGGCTCCAGCAACCGTGGTCTCCCCTGTCTTTCAGGTCAGCAAAGTGGAACGGGAGAAGAGTCAGGAGCTGAAGCAGGTGCGTGAGCACGAGCAGCGCAAGCACGCGGTTCTGGTCACCGAGCTCAAGACCAAGCTGCACGAGGAGAAGATGAAGGAGCTGCAGGCTGTGCGGGAGGCACTGCTGCGGCAGCATGAGGCCGAGCTGCTGAGGGTTATCAAGATCAAGGACAATGAGAACCAGCGGCTGCAGGCGCTGCTTAACACCCTGCGGGACGGCGCACCTGATAAGGTCAAGACCGTGCTCCTGTGTGAGGCCAAGGAGGAGGCCAAGAAGGGGTTTGAGGTGGAGAAGGTCAAGATGCAGCAAGAGATCTCGGAGCTCAAGGGGGCCAAGAAGCAGGTGGAGGAGGCGCTGACACAGGTGATCCAGGCCGACAAGATCAAGGCCGCGGAGATCAGGAGCGTGTACCACCTGCACCAGGAGGAGATCAGCCGCATCAAGAAGGAGTGTGAACGGGAGATCCGACGGCTGGTACGTGGCTCGCGGTGGGAGGGCGGTGCAGGCGGCTCTGGTCGCTGCTGTCTGGCCTGTCTCCTCCCCACACCCACCTCACACTCTCCCTGTTGTTCTGAGAGTCCGGAGACCTCAGATGCAGCCATCTTTCCAGCCAGGGCTCCCACTCTCCCCCACTTCCCTGATCTTCAGAGATGCCTCCAGACTTCATTGCCGTGTGGAACTTCCCAGGGGATTGCAGTAATTCCTGGCACAGGTGGAAAGGGTAAACATAACCTTGACATGGTGTCCCTCCAAGCCAAAGCTGGAAGGTCTTCTCCCCTTTTTCCAGAGTGCTCCCTGCTCCAACCTCTCCTTACACATCCTGACCCACATATTTGCTTCACCTTTGACAACCCCAGGGCCTGGCCCACCACCCCATCTATCAGAACTGGGTGAATTCCCCCTGTGGTGTGATGTGACACTACCCCCACTTTGTCCAGGGAAAAGGACACAGCTGCTGGGCCTCCTGGGAAGGAAGGGAACACTCAATTCCAGGAGCCTTTCATTTGTCTTGCTTGGATTTAATGTTTGTAACAGGGGAGAGCAGCCTTACTTTTAACAAAAAACTAACAACAAACATCTACTCCCTATCGCCCTCTCCCACCTGATTTGGGCCCTCAGAGGCAAATACCTGCACCTCCTCCAGCTGCTTCCTCTGGACTTCATTGCAGACTGTCACAAGCATTTTTCTTGGCATGCGTGTTTCCTCAACATGTCACAAGCTGTTTCTTGACTTCTAGTCTTTGCTCTCTTCTCTCCCCTGCACGCAGCTCCTCCCTCCCCTTGCAGCCCTGTACATTCCCTGCTCTCTCTATATTATACTGGCCAGGACAGGAGCAGGTGGCACACCCAGAAGAGGTCCCTGGGAGAGTCAGAGGAGACAGTTCATGAAGGCCTGGGCAGCAGAACAGGAAACCATAGGTCTGGCAGGCTCTGAGGGAAGGTGAGTGCCACAGGACAAGAGATGACAGCAGGCAGTGGGAGTCAGCCACTGCAGACAACTCCGAGCCCAGCTGGGAAGTGGGGAGCAAATATACAGGACCCCGCCTCTCCATTGGTCTCAGCCAGAGACCAGTGTGGGGGAGCAGGCGGAGCCCTGGAGCAGGCCAGGTTTCTGAGGAGGTGGAGAGTGGCTCCAGGGGCAACGAGATCTCAGGCAGCCCCCAGACTCTACCCCATCTTAGTTAAATGAGTACGCACATTTGCGTCATGTGCAACCCACAGTGGAAACCATGCTACCTTTCTTGCATGCTGGCTTGTTTTCCTTGAGTTAGTTTTTGTTTCCTGAGTTTTCAAAGTGCCTGTGTCAATTTCCAATGGAAGAGTGAACTGCTCTCAACACTGTCAAAAACAAGGGGATTCTGTCTCTTTACCTTTTGGAGGACCTCCTTTCTGGAACATGCGTCCCCTCTTGTTTCTACTCAGGCCATCCCACCTCCCAAACCTGCCACCCCACTTCTGGCCTGACCCCTTTGTCATCACCCGAGGGTCCCCTCCCCTGTCTGCGTCAGACCCTCCCATGCCAGCCCTATTGTGTTACGGTTCTCATTTGGTGGAACATGTTCTTTAGTGGCTTCCTGGGAAGCAGAGAGGCTGGGAAGTCAATTTGAGATGTCGTGTGCATTATTTTAGTGGGGTACTCTATAACAGAGGTTGAGAACATGTCCCCTGGGGAACTTGGTGGTGTTTCTGTGTGTTTCTCACTTGCAGAGCTGCTGTTGAGAAGTTTGTTAGCATTCTCCTTCCTGCCATTTCCCTGCCCTGCCCCAGAAGTTTCAGGATCCTCTCCTTGAACTCAGAGCACCTCTGAAATGTCACAGTGCATGCTGTGTGGACAACACAAGGGCTCACCCCATGTGGGCAGGCAGGATCCTCTCCACCTGGAATGCAGGTCCTTCAGCTGCAGAAAACCTGACTCCTTTTTAAACCATTCTTTCCTCCCATCCTGTTGGTCAGACGTTGGACCTTTGAGATCAAACTTTAATTTTCTTATTTTTTTCCTGCAACCTTGGCTTTTTGTTTACTTTCTAGGAAATATCCTCTTCTAGTTTTTCTGGGTTTTTTTTTTTTTCATTTCAGCCATCCTAAATCCAATTGTTAAAAATGTTTGCCCTCTGAAATAAAAAGTCTTGGGGCTCCCCTCTCATTCATAACTGTAGCATCATCTCATTTCTAAGACTTCCAGCGTTCCTGTCACTGTGTGTCTTTGCATTGGTTGATTCCTTAGGTGTAGCCTTCCTGGCCCCAGCAGGGATGCTCTTAGGAGGCAGGCTGTCTGGGGCTATGTAGGGGTACACAGAGCTATGGGAGCTTTACTCTAAATTGAACAGGAAGAAATTCTATTTTGTTGGGGCCTCTTTTCCTTCTATCTTTTTTTTTTCAATTTTTTCATCAAAGATGAATTTGAATCAGTTCCATAAGGAAAAAGAAAAAAAAAAAAAAACCTGAAAGGCATCAGACTGGAAAGAGAAAAGTCAAACTGTCTTTTTTGCAGGTGATATGATCATGCATGTAAAGCATCTAAGAAATTCATGCCAAAACGCATTGGCATTGCAGAGCAAGTTCAGCAAAGTATCGGGGTATGAGAACAACATAAGAAAATCAGCTATATTCTTATATTCTCTGACTACTAGCAAGCAAAGCACTTGTAATCCCAGCGTCTTCCTCTTATTCTGCCGCATTCTTCTATCATTTTATGTTCTAAAGTTTTTAATTTTTTAAGGTTTTAGATTTTAAAACAGTCTAAGTTGTTATTATCTCCCCTTGGGATTGGTGATTATCGTGTCTTAAGAAATCCTTTTAAGCCAAGTCAATGTGATCCTAGTTACTCCGGAGGCAGATATCAGGAGGATCTTGGTTCAAAGCCAGCCTAGGCAAATAGTTGGAGAGACCCAATCTCAAAAATACGCAATACAAAAGAGCCGGCAGAGTGGCTCATGGGGTGGAATGACTGCCTAGCAAGTTCGAGACCCTGAGTTCAAGCCCTAGTGCCCTCAAAAAAATCCTTTTATTTTGAACTCATGAATCTTTGACCTTAACAGCTGTATAACTTTGTCTCACACACTTAGGTCTGTGCCCCACCTGGACTCTGTGTGGTGTGTGTGTGTGTTAGAGTGTGGGTTGTAGAGGCCCAGTGATATTTTTCCATATGGATGTACAATTGTCCTAGCAGCCCTTACTAAAAAGATCCCCTTCCCCACTACACAGCCACTTGTTGGGGCTTTCCACCCACCCGGTCATCAGCTGTCTCAGTAGCATAGCATATCGCCTGCTCTGGCCCTCCGAGCAGTTTTGGTTTCTGGAGTAGTCAGTGCTCCCACTTGGCTCTGCTTGACCCTTGAGACTTCTGTATACACTGTAGTCATCTTTTTCCTAGAGTTTTTATTTGGGATTTAACCGAATAAAACTGAGGATATAATCGTGACTGTTATACAGATATACAACCAGCAGATGTCAAAGATTTTATTTAACTCATTAATTAACATTAATTAACAAGGAAATAAGTAAAATGATACAAGCAACTGTGACCCAGAAAGAATCGCATTTCCTACCTGACAGCAGCCGCATGTGGTGTTGTGATCCTGGGACACATTTGATTTGTTCACAGTGTTCTCCACATTCACTCTTCTCTCCAAAGAAAGCCATAAAATATCAGAGTCAAAGACACACCACATGCCTCCTCTGTGGGGTCAGACACCCCTCAAAGGCTCTGCGTGCCTGTAAAAGGCCGGCCAGAAATCTTTGCCTACTTCAAAGCCTTCCACACCTTTTCCCTATAGAATTCATAATCAGCTTTGGGGATCTCCTTTATTTGTCACTACAGTGTGTGAAGACACAGATGCCCTATTAGCAAGAAGGTCAATACTTTCCTCTTGAGAACACCACCAGTAGTCCCAAGAGCTGTGGTCCAACCCACTGCACTGGTCGCTGTTCCCACCAGGTTTCCCTGTTGGAGACAGTGCCTCTGCAACTACAGGGGATGGGCTTTGTTCTAACCCTTGACCTTGGCTGCCCCTTTGGTACTGAGGACACAGCTCCCCACAGTTCACCCTACCACTGTCCCCAAGGATCAGCCATGTGAATGTTCTATTGTGTGTAATTTAATTGAAATCATGACAAATCTAGGAAGCTCTTGGCCCTGTGCCTGGAAGACAGAAGGGGCTCCAAGAGCATTAGTTCTCATGATAGGATCAGCCAGTGTCACCCATGAGTCCAGTCACCCTGGGTCCAAGCAGTGTCACCTGTGAGTGTGGCCAGTGTCACCCATGAGTCCAGCTCATGTCACCCTGGGTCTAGTCTGTATCACACAGCATCTGTCATTGTCACCCATGAGTCCCATCAATAGTACCCATGAGCCTAGCTGCCAGGCTCAAAACTCCCATTGTGGACCCTCTTCCTGGGCACTGTCCAGGTGAGCTGATGGAGGCCTCAGGGTCACCTGAATCTTCTCATTCAGGTCTAGTTTGTGAGAGAACATTCTGCCTTTTAAACCCAGCTGTGAATTTATGGTCAACACCCCCAACCCACTGCGTAGAAATGTCTGAAGTACAGTGTGGTGTGAAGTGGAGGGTGTGGAAGAATGGCAGGCGGGCTTCCCAGTGTGAAGCCCCCCAGGCTGGGGAGAGGAAAGCTTGTCAGGGTGGGGGTGGGGAGGGGCAATCCAGAGGTATTTTTGGAAACATCAGAGATGGAAGCTGCCCAGAGCAGAGCTGGAGCAAAGAAAATGGAGGGAATATAGTGCATAGTAGCTCAATACCAGGAATGGGGACAGGTTTGAGAGCGAGCCTGGCTCCAAGAGGCAGCAGGGCTCCATCCCTGAGGTGCCAGGGCAAGGACAGTCAGGCTGGGAGTGCAGGAGATGACTGGGGCTTTGACTCAGGGGCAGGACAGCAATGTCCTGCACTAGGCAAGTACTGGGGGTTCTCAGGGGCTCCCCCATAGAAAGACCCCAGCTGTTGTGTTATTTGAGAATAGTT